TTATATTTAAACATTTAGATTTAACATTTAGATTTAACATTTGGGTTTAAACATTTAGATTTAACATTTAGATTTAAACATTTCGATTTAACATTTCGATTTAACATTTATATTTAAACATTTAGATTTAACATTTAGATTTAACATTTGGGTTTAAACATTTAGATTTAAACATTTAGATTTAAACATTTAGATTTAACATTTAGTAAAAATGAGCTAAATGTATGAACAGTGCGCTAAATAACAATAAAATGTTAGTGGAACGTCTTTAACACTCAAAAAGTGAGTTAAATAATGAAAAAAGTTTCATTTTACACTTGGCTCCTCGTATCCAAACGTTTTAGATTCTGAGCCTAAAAACTAAAAACACAAAACCAGAGATTCTGATGAAGCTGAACAATCATTTTCTTGTGTTTTTATCTATTTGTAACAAAGACAGACTCTGAAGACAAACAGGAAGTAGAAGGACTCTGCTGTTTGGAGTCTTAGGGTGTGCTTAGGACCGGACCGGACCGGACTGGACCGGACCAGACCGTCCTGCAGGATTATCTCAGCGCATGAAGCTACGTTTCTGTTTTGATTCTGCCCTCGGCTCAGATTAAACCTGATTCAGATGAAGGAACTCTGAATAATCTGCTGCGTTTACATTTGTCTTTATTATTCCACGGAGCCTGCAGCTGCAGCGGTGAGGCCTAACACCAGCTGAAGATGGAGGGTTACCCCCGATAAGGTGCCCCCCGCGCCCCCCAGCCTCTCTCCCCGCTGAACGCTCAGGCCTGTAAATTGTTTATCAGACACTAATGCAGCAGCTTAATCCTATTTGCATTCATATTAGTCCCCGTATCAGCGTCTCAGGGAGGACTTATTTGAATTCTTCTGAGGGCTAAATAACTTTATGCAGAATATCTTCAGAATTCACATCCAGAGAGTCGGTTTGGTCAAAGAGCTACAGGAGAAACTTCCCATCAGGACGCAGATCAGAGACAGAAATAATAAAATAAAACACTTCCTGACTTCAGCGGCTCACATTGATGCACTTTATTACACTTTATTATATTTTTTAAAGGTATTTTGTCCCTGTTTAGCAGAGGAAACACCTTAATGGCTGATTATCACCACTAAAGATCATTTTCCCAGAGCTCAGTTGTAAAATAAGATCAGATATATTGAAGAAAGAACAACTCATTTCACTGAATTTGATCAAATCGTGCAGAGAAGAGAAGTGGTGAAACATGAGCCAGAAGCTTGTAGATGGAGACAAACATCCTGAGGGACGTTTAACTAAATGTCTGAGTCTTTCAGTGGATAAAACACTGATCCAGACTTCATCATGGCTGCTGTCAGCTGCAGTCATGTGAAGAACTCCTGCAGCAGATGATGAGCTGAAAACACTCATGTTGGTGAAAATTAAAAGGAAAACTGTCAAGCTTCACCCAGCTGCACGTCTTTGATGAAAGACGACAGGATTCAGATAGAATCGTCTTTCTAACAGTTCAAAATAAAAAAAACATTATTATTGAAAACTGCAAACACGTCTTAAATCCACGATGTGACAACTGAATGTATAATTACAGCTTTAAAGCCACAAACGGCAGGAAAATCATTTGAACACATCCGTCGCTAACGTGTTTTTGAAGACGTGTCAGGCTGTCAGGAGGCCGGGATTTAAGCCTGATCAGAGGAGTCCTTTAGAGACGGAACAAAGGAAGCAAATCTGGGGACGAGTGCTACCTGAGAGAGAAGATCTCCACCTGAGACCACCGAGAACTCCACCTGAGAGTCAAGATCTCAACCTGAGACCACCAA